AGAGAGAGAGAGAGAGAGAGAGAGAGAGAGAGAGAGAGAGAGAGAGAGAGAGAGAGAGAGAGGCTGATGAAGACGTGTTTTTTACTGTGTTGGTTCTGAAGATTGATGAACCACAGCTGGGGCGGCTGTATGATCGGGGCATAGAGGACGGAGAGAAGAGTATTTTTGAGGTATGTCGTTCTGGCTACCTTTTCCTTGGTTTTGTGAGTCTTGCCTACAATATGTTTAACCTTGATTGCACTTGTTTCACCTTGATTGCACTTGATTCAATTTTGTAATAGTGAAGAGAGAGGTTACTTTATGTGCAGAGCTCCAAACTTGTTGTCTGCACCAGTTATGCATACAGTGCCCTGTCTGCCTCCACTGTAGCCATGGTTCGGAAAATACGGGATGGTCTTTTCCAGGAAATGTTGAGGTCTGACAATATCAATCTTGTTGTGCGTCATGCAGTTTGACATCAAGTGCAATGCTTTGCATGCTAAGTGCACATAACATTCTTTAGCAGGGTTGTGCTTAGGACCAACTATCGGAAAAATCCGATTCTCAGAAATTGCTTGCTTTTATCATATGTTCGACTGTAGAAAGAAGAAAACAATTTTGCTTGTTGGGAGAGAATTGATACATGCGTAGCATGTTCAGGTCTTAGCTGTGAACTCAAATCGATCAGTTTATCAGAAGGGCATACCCCTGGTCTCCCTATCAGGGTTCATGATAGACATTGTTGGATATTTGGAGCCAATAGGTTTTGTTCATACTTGCGGCGCATCGCGATGCGCTGTACTGCGCACGTGCGCCGCACTGCGCTTCCCGCACGACACGCGTGCACTGCATGCGGCGCACCTCCAAAAATGGGGGTAAAAAAAAAAAGAAAGTTGTGAGGGGCAGTAGTAGACCCGGCCCCCTGCTTGCGTAAAATAAGAAACGGGCAGCCAAATTTTTTTTGAAGGCCGCGCGTTGGCCTGAAAGCTTTTAGTAACCTGTGTGTATTGCAGTCTGTATGGTAGGGTTCTTGCAGTCCAGATTCAGTCATGATGAGGGTCGCGATCTCTCAAAACGTTCTCTTCTTATTACTTCTGAAGTAGAAAATGACGGAACTGACAACCGTTTTTCCTGGAATTGTTTTTTTAAATAAAAAGAAAAAAATGTAAGGGAAGAAAATCAGAGTTTCTTTGCATGAGTGTCGCCCGGCGCGTCCAACCTGTCAGAACCTCAACGGTAAGTGCAGTCTGTATGGTAGGGTTCTTGCAGGCCAGATTCAGTCATGATGAGGGTCGCGATCTCTCAAAACGATCTCTTCTTATTACTTCTGAAGTAGAAAACGACGGAACTGACAGCCGTTTTTCCTGGAATTTGTTTTTTTAATAAAAAGAAAAAAACGTAAAGGAAGAACATCAGAAATTCCTTGCACAAGTGAAGCCCAGAACCTCAATGGTAATGTTCACCAATGGGCTCGCTGCACAACTCTCGACATGCACAACAAGACAAAAATATTGGCGGTGTATCTTTCCATATTCTAGCGCAAGATTCACTCTCGTTTAGCACATTTCCAGAGTAGTGCAGCGAGGCCCATATATGGCAATGTATCTTTCCATGTTCAAGCGGAAGATTCAGTCTCATTTGTTCAGAGATTCTCCAAAAAAAAAACAAAAAAAGGTTCCAGAGATACGTTACGTGCTTACGTGATTCACCGGCCCTTCGCTCTCCACCACCCAACGTATGAATGAATCTTCCACCAGAACATGGAAAGATGCACCGCCATATTTTTCGTCCTTTGTGCATGTCACCCCGCTTCCGGATTCATGTTGCCCGTTGATAAGGGCGGTTTCTTCGGTCCGATAATGTCAGCACACGGTTTCTTCTCTCTCTCTCTCTCTCTCTCTCTCT